TTAGCATTTTATATTAAATATGAAATTGAAGATTTTATTTATATTTGTTAAAAAATTTTATTAATTTATTTATTTTAGTTTATACTTTACAAATTTACTTGTCTTTTATAATTTTTTATAGCATTAAAAATTATAAAATATTTTTAATAAAAATAAAGATTATTTTCTTGTTAAAAACACTAAGTTAAACAAAGAATAATTTTTTTTTTATTAAACGTTCATTTTTTTAATTAAAAATATATCATGTGTAATATCATGTGCAATGATCTTCAACCAATAAAAATTAATTTTTTATGTGATGATCCCCTCATAAACATCACAAATTTTAACCTATAAAATCAAATGTCCACTATGCTTCTTAACCTATAACCTGCTTATCTAACTCTATGTTTATTATATCCCCATATTTGGCATCTCATAATAATAAAAATTGTTTGTACAACAAATTTTGTTTTCTATATTTAAATTGTCTATATTAGGAAATCAAATCGTAATTGATAAACTTAAACCTAATTTTAATAATTTTAATAATTTAATTGGTAAAAAAAAATTTAATTTAATTTTTAATCTTGTAATGCCGGCCATAAAATCACATGATATTTAAATTCAAATTTGAATAATAATCTAACTCGAGTTGTAAATCTTTTGTGACCAATTTTTTTTTGTTTCGTTCACGATGGTTAGAGTATAACTTTAACTTTACAACGGACAATACAGCCTTATTAGGCGCATTGTACTCAACTCCATCTTTAGGCACTCATGTGATCTCCCTTACTCCACTCCTTTCCGTATTACCTTCCTTCTCCTCTCCTCTAAACCAAACTAATAATAATAATAATAATAATAAACCGGGTTTTCTTACTTTCCTTTTACTTTCTTTCGGATTCCAGGTTCATTAAAAAAAAAAAAACTATAAACATATATATATATATTTGTATATTTTATATATACATAATATGGCCTTTAACTTTGGATTAGTTGCTGGGAACCCTTTTTATCTTGCAACACTGGGTTTGGCTTTAGTACGTGAAAATCTCTTTTAAAAAATAAAAAAAATGGGCCGAGAATAATTTTCGAAAAGTAGTTTGCACAAATATTTATAGGTTTGCTTTACACTTAGATTGGCTGGATCATTATTTTTGCTGGTTCTATTGCGGCTCGATTAAAAGGTGTTATCTGGTTCTATATAATTTATGAACTATTCCTTATTATCGGAGTTCTTCTCTCCATTGCAACTGATAGTCTCCGAAATTATAGATTTGCTGTATCCTTAAGAAAAAAAAATTTCATGTTTAATATATTTTTATACATGTATATACTTAAACATTACTTGAATATATTCGAATACTTGTATATATTCGCATTTAAGTAAAGAATTGACCTAATTAAGTAAAAATTAATTAATAAATTCAGGCTTAGATTTTATCAATTTTATCCTTAATTTTAGGATTTACATATAAAGTTTGTAGGATTTTTAAGTGTTAGTGTGGTTTGGTTTACCAATACCATTGATACATTCCTTGGAGTTTCCGTTCCCGAGTTACAAGCTGTTGCAGCTGGTTCAATCTTTCTTTGCATTGTGATGGTAAAATTATATTTTAATTATTTAATAATTTTTTTAATTAATTATATTTTAAATATTTTCAATTAATTATATTTTAAATATTTTTTAATTAATTATAATTTCTTAATTATTTTCAATTAATTATAATAATTTCAATTATTTATAATTTTAAATGTCTTTTTATTTTATTATATTTTCAGGTTGTTTGGATAATCAGTTTTGGATCAGAGAATGATTCATTTATCTCAAAAATCATTAATTCTTGGGCTCTTAATAAATCTGGAGCAGTTGTTGGAGGAGTAACAGATGGGCCAATTACATTAGGTCCTGTACAAGAACAATTAAATACTGTAGTAGTATCTCCTAATGCTGATTATGCATATAAGGCAAGGGCGTTGTACGATTGTAAGTCTTTTTGAAAATGTTTATTCGGATATAAAAACTTTTCTATATCAAATATTTAACTAATAATCTAATAATATATAATAATATATCTGTAATAATTTTTTACAATAGATCAAGCAAATCCTGAAGATCAAAATGAACTTTCACTTATTAAAGGTGAAGTTCTTGATATAGTTGATAATAAGGGTAAATGGTGGCAAGCAAGGAAAGCTGATGGAGCAGTTGGTATAGCACCCAGCAATTATGTAAGTTTCTAAAGAAATTATACAATAATTACAATATTACAATAGCCATATAACAACTAATTATATATCTCTCTTTCTTTCTTTACAGCTGCAAATTATCTAATTTACTTACATTTCAGCATCTCATTACTTTATTAATTTATTATTATTATTGTACAACAAGAATTCATAATTTTCAACATCAAATTACATTAATTCATTTAAAATTTTTTTTTTAATAATATTTATATTCTTTTTCCAAATATAAATATTCATCATAATTATTTACATTAATTATTTATTATCTCATTTCTACATTTTGTTTAATAATAAAAATCAGTTCATTGAGCAAAATCACAAAAGATACAAAAAACAACTATAAATTTGTAACTTGAAATAATAATATTAGAAAACAATGATATCAATAGTTCTATTCATTCATAAAAATAAATACTTTAAATAATATGTTAAATTTTTTAATTTATTTTTTTTTTTTATTTTATTTTATATATATTTTTATTCGATTATTGTTATATTTATTATAACAAATATTAATAGTAGATAATATCTATTAATATCTATTATCACTATTTAATATCTATTAATAATTATTATCATATTTAATATCTATTAATGATTTCCCGAAATTTAAAAATATTTAAAATATTTACATAAAAGAAAGAATCACGTTGAAAATAATGAAAATAATTTAAATTGCAAAAACCAAAAAAAAAAAAAAAATACAATTCATGTAATTCAAATATTAATTCAAATAACGAAGCAATTTTCGAACCAACATTTGAATATAATCATTACGCATCTTAAATCGGTCAACAATTTCTTTAGAAGTCTAAAAATATTGTAATACAAAATAATTAAAATATAAGTAAATATAAATGAACATAGAAAAGAATATATAATATAAAAAATAAATTATTTACCGGTTGCTGATCCAAGGTTTCTAACTTTTTCAAAATATCTGTAAGAACATGTTTAGCATTCTTTTGTAAATACACTCTATCTGCATCCCTCGTTGTGTGTGATGAAACATTTCGACGTGTTTCAAAAGGTTTCGACTTCGATCCATCTGATGTCATATAGTAATCAAGATGTCGCCATAATAATAATAATGAAACCTCAACATCATCTAGGATTAAAAATAATTTAGAATGTAAATTAAATTAAAAAAAAAAAATTAGATTAAAAATATATTACAAATTAAGAACAGAAAATATTATATTCGTTGAAATCTTACATAAATGTTGCGACACATTTTTCGATGTTTCATAATAATGCTCTTGCAAGGCTCGAATTGTTAAAGATTTCCGCTGAATATCGTCAATATCAGACGTTAAGTCATCAGGTAAAGATGAAAATGCCTAAATTATTAATCAGAAAAAAATTCTATCAACTCATTTTATCTTTAAATAATTTAAATAATATATTGAAATACCTCTTCAATATCAATAACATCTAACATCTCTTCCCCTTTTTCTAGTTTGAATGATAACTTCTTAAGATTTTGTAATTCCTGTTCAAGAATATCAATAGAAATACGGAGATAATTGACTAAAACTGAAAGTTCCGGTTGTTCTTAAAAAAAAAAAAAAAAATTTTTTTTTTTTTTTTATAAATAATTTATTATTTTTTAAATAAAGAAATGTGTTAATGTCTTAATTCTTACTCATATCTCCATGATATTCCTCTTCAGGTCTTTTAGCAGCCTCAAGGGACGAAGTAAATATTGGTTTAAATTCTATTATAACGGATATAACAGATATAACGATATATAATATCAAATTTTAAGAAATTTATATATAAACACTCTGGAGAAAAAAATTTTACCTTGATTTTTCTTATTGGTTAATGTCATTATTTGGCTCCATCCTAAGAGATTGCGATTAATACTATAAATTTGTTCTTGGATGTCTATCAAAAAAAAAAAATAATTAATTAGAATCAGTATTATTAAAGATTTTTTAAAAAAAATCATAGATTTAAATTTAATTTGAATATGTACGTTGAATATCCGAATCCCCAGTTTCTATAAAATCTGATATCTTTTTCCTAATAGTAAAAAATCGGCATATTAATTCTTTCAGGAATCCTTGAAAAGTGCGTTGATGCGTTTCAGTGCGCTTCGAGAATTCGAATTTATTATTAAAGAATAAATTATTATTATATTATTATTATTTATTTTTATTACTTATTTATTTATTATTATTATTATTATTATTATTATTCAAATAAAAATTAATAAAAAAAATTCTAACTCACAACTTCATCAATGGATTCTATTTTGGTTCCTAATAGATAAAATAAGCGAGTCAACTCGTTTAAGACTTCGATACACATAATAAAATTGGCTCGCTTCTCGTAATCCTGAGAATTCAAAACATCCATGGGAGGAATATCCGTGAAAATATCTGAAACCAAGCCTTGATGTCCGCTTATGAATTTGGCAACCTTAACTAATGCGGTTGCACTATCGTGCCCTATACTTGTAAGGATACAGACTATAAGACGAATCACTAACATCAAAAGGTCATGATATGCTTTATATAAAGGTTTCCCGAAAATATCTAAATATTAAAAATAATTAAAATTATTTAATAATATTTAATTTGGTTTTTATGATTATAATTTTAAATTTTAGAATCTTTTATTTTACCTGGCTCGGGATTGCTGTAATTTGGTCTTTCGTCAAGAAAAATTAATTCGTCCAAATAATCTATAATCCCTATATCTCTAAGTTTAATGGCACAATCTCTGCGTTGTGCTAAGCATATCAAAAGTCCAACTCTGGCTTCAAATACGTACTTTGCTTGTATAGCAGCAATTTCTAATTAATTAAATACTTAAATTTTAGCGTAAAAATTTTTTTAAAAAAAAACAAAAAATAATAATAATAATAATTTATTCAATGAATTAATCTATTTACCATGTCGAGACTTTATAGATTGTAACAATAATTCATTTTGACTTTTCAAATTTTTAACAACATTTCCAAGAAATCCTGATCTTATCATATAATCGATAACAAAAAGTCCTTTATCACGTTTGTCCAAACTACAAATTGCTGTTAGGACATTCAATGCGCATAATTTTCCTGCAACTGGTCCTTCCGATGCATCTATACGAATAATATCTAATAATCTATCACCTGCACTTCTAAAGGCTCCAAGATTACCAGCATCGAGAACAGATCGTGGATCTGCTCGAATTGAAGTTGTTAAAGTAGACGGTAAATTTCTTGGTGTGGAATATCCTGGTCGTGTTATCTCACTTTTAGGAATCGATCGAGTTAAATCACTTTGTGGCGGTAATCCTGTTGTAATATCAGGTTCGCGGTCTATATAATGCAAATAATTATAAATCGTTGCATACAAATTATTTCGAACATCCGGTTGAAAATCTTGAACAAGACATTCCAAAATCAATCGTAATATAGAAAAAAGTCGATCGGAAGGGACTCTCATATATGCAAGATTTGAAGTACTTATACTTTGTAGAATTGATAACCGTTTACGATCTAAACGTAAAACTGTAATTGCTGCGAATATAACTTTGCTAATAATAATAGCAATTGCTTTAGACTCATGTTGCAAAGTTGGCAATAAAACGGATAAAATGTCATGAAATGTAGCTTCTCGAACTTCTATCCGTAAACGAGAATAATGATTGACTATAATCACTTCAATAACCTCCCTCCATGCTTTAAAACATTCAAACCTAGAATATATAAATTCTTGCTCACGATTGTAAGAGTAACAATATCGTAATATATGTTTCATCTCTTTGCGTAAGCTAGTTTCATTTACCGAAAATCCCATTTGTGCTTGTTTTCGCAGATAAGTATAGGTTTGATTTAATTCTGAGAAAACATCCCGCAATCTATATAAAGACATTCCTCGTTCATTACGTGATGCTAAATTCTTAAAATTAACCTTATCAAAATATACTCGCTGAGGTTCATTTATCTTCCATGAATCGATCCATTCAAATTCTAACATATTTAAAACATCAAGAATTTTGATTTCGGATTTGCCTGACATATCATCATCCTCCTGAGATTTAATCAAATTGATACCAAGTAACATACTCAGTAATCTTTCAATACCGGAACGAGTTTTGCATTTACGTAATTCCAATGCAATCATCTTCAATAAATAAGTTCTTTCATCAATATTTGAAGTTAATGTAACTAAATCTAACTCAATTGTTTGACCATCATAACTTATTAGAGTGCATGACTCTCTCCAATCAGGTGTCTTTTCTGGTATAGTTATCTGTAAAGGAATTGCTTTAAATTGCTTATCAAAAAATCCTTGACTTCGAAGAAACATCATTGTTACATCTGAAGTGTTATGTTCTGCACAAAGTCTATATAGAATTTGATAACAACAAGCTGTCATTGATGAATAATTCGAAAACAAGAGTTCAATATCTTCGAAATTATCTAATTCCTTATGAATCGGTTGGCCGAGAATTTCCATGATTTTGTGTAAGCATGATTCCTTAAGGTCGTCTTGATTAATGAATTTAATAACGGGATTTTGCAATGAACCACGAAAATCGAAGCCAAGGAGAAAATGGGATATCGTAGGTATCGTTTTATCAGGCATCATATTTTCTAATATGAGATCTAAAATTGCGCATTTAACACTTCCAAAGGTTATCCCTGATTCAGAAGTTAACGGTCCCGCACTATATTCTTCCTCATCAGGCGAGGACCAAATTTTTAATCCGACTTGTGTTAACTCAAAGTCTTCAAGTTTATATTTATTGTCCCACATATCATCATCGACATTTAAATCTAATCTTGACACAAATCCACTAAGAATCATTTCTGAATCTGGACTAGAATCTAATATCCCTAATAATCTATTAACCCTTTCTACACCAAATCTATCCTTTGAATTAAATAATGAAGAACTAGCAAGACTAGATAATACCTTGACAGAATAAAAACAAATATCGGGATTTCTATAATTAAGTAATAATGCAATTTGAACAATAATATCTTTTTTAGAAAGAAATGCATTTTCGAAGCACCCAGGCGAATTTTCACCTACTAAAGGAACTATTTTTTTCAAAAATCTGTCCTGCTTTTCCAATGCGACCCAAATTATCTTTAAACAATGTAAAACTGATTCAGAAATGAATGGAGTTTTGATTTCTTCATCTGCCAATGTTTCAATTCCACGAGAAATAATTTCAAATATTACATATACTAATCGAGAATTACTCAAAAGCCTTTTCATTAAGTCATACCCTGAATGATTTCTCAAATATTGAATAAAATCTTTGTTGAGAACACTAATTTCATCTTTATTTAATTTATTTTCTTCGGATGATTTTAAAGAAGAAACTTGATCATTTTGGAATAATGGACCTGTCAAATCAAATGAGATTAATAATTTTTCAATAATTTCTAAGGAAGCAGCCATAATCTTCCATTTTTGCAAAGGAAACATGTAATCACGAGTTGGTGCTTTGATAAAAATATCATCTATTATAAAATTGATGTAGGGACTGATACCAGGTTGTCGATAACCAACTCCAATTTGATCAATTATAGTTGATGAACGAACAGGGAAACCAGATCGAAGAAAAACATTTGTATCAGGAACATAAATCAAAGAATTAATAAAACGTACAAAGGATAATGTTTGAAAGAATAACTTTTTGGGAGATTCCACTTCTTCAAGTTCTTTTTTAATAGCCCAAGTATCTTGTGTTTGCATATTTGAAACACCCCAATAAGTGGATGTACCAAACTTTAGGTCCTTAGGAACAGTAGGAACAATTTGTTCTTCTTCCAATATATTCCAAATTTGTAATGAGATCTCAGAAAATCCTTCACTTTCTGGTACACAAAATGCCGCGATTGCATTATATAATTCTGCTTTTAACTCTGTAGGTACATGATGTGTTACTAAACGAAAGAGTTTCCTAATTGTATTGGCGTGAAAAAATCGTATTCTTGCATTACTTGAATATCTTACAACTTGTTGAAAAACTCTTAGAAAAGAGATTAAAAGTTTAACTTCATCTTCCAAGATTTGTTTAATATCTTGATTCATTCCAAAATTATAGGCATCTAAAGCTCTTAATAAAGTAGACCAAGAACACCATTCACCCATTTCATCTGAACCACGTAAAAGAAAATCGTCAGCACGAGCAGCAGAATGAAAACCTGCAGATAATGAACAAAGCATTTCCAGATATGAACGCATCATCCCTTTTTCTTGAAAACTAGCACCCCAATTAATTATTTGTTTTAAATCTATCCAGAATCTAAGACCTTCATCAGGTTGATTTCGATAGATATTTGCTATTAAGATAAAGAAAGCCTCAACATCATGACGTAAAACGATGGATTTTTTAGTGTTTGTTCGAACTAATTTTTCAGCAGCTGCCGATTGAATAGCATCCTCTTCTTGTCGCCTAATCCTTTGTAAATTAGTCCACATTTTAGTGACTATTGATGTAACAAAAAATTCAAGTTGTTTACGAAGAAAATATCCGAAATCTTCGCGTATATGATTGTCAATTTTTGATATCATTCCTGAAGAAGAAGAAGTAAAATTAAGTGTACCATTTTCAATACTATTACTTTCCCATACAGTTGATATACTAGGCGCAATTTCAATATAAACAGATTCCATTTCCGTTTTTTGAAATGAAAGTAAATAATGAGTTATAAATTGAAAAGCGTCTTTAACTACGGCACGTTGAAACATTTCTCCCAAATGTTCTTCTTTAATTATTAATTGAGGTTCTAATGTTGGAGAATTTCGTAAAGCTTCTAAAACAAATAGACACCATTGAATCATAATTGTTGATTTAGCAGCTTCAACTTTCCATTGATCTTTTTTAACAATATTTGTAAAATTATTAATAAAATCTTTGTTTCGAATCAATTCTTCATGGTTCTTTTTTGCGGGTAAATCATTAGATAAATGTTCAGGAGAAGTATCAATAGCTGATAATAATGAAGCAATTAAATATGGGAAGACAATATCTTCAGTATTAGAATTTTGTAATAATTTTGTTAATTCCTTTATATCTTCTACATTTAAAAGGTAATTATATGATATTAACCATAAACTATGTGCAAGATATCTTTGATGTATTAAAGATTGTTTAATTCTATCTTGAATAGAATCAGTATTAAAATTGACCAAAATATAACCAACATTAAGAAGTTGTAAATCATTGGGAGAGATTATAGTAGGACCTTGACTTATGAGTTGTTGTAATCGAGAATCAAGTTCATTTACTTCCGATTTGAGCTTTTGTATAGTTGACATCAACTTACGTGCAAATGATCCATCTTTGGTTATTTTAGATGTTACATTGAATAAACCTTCCATATAATTTTTAAATAAATCTCTAACTGAAATTTTTATATCTTCATTAAAAGAATTTCCAATAAGACTTGATAAACAAACTAATAAATATCCTTGTTCTCTAAGTAAAATTAAAATTGCAGTTTCAGCAGCCGGTCTACCATATCTTGAGCATTGATTCGTTCCATGATGTAAAAGATTTGCTGCGAATAATTCATCAGTCTTGAGAAAATCAGATATTGAATTTGCTTCAATAACAAATTCTTCCGTAAACCTATATTCTCTTTGATTTATGGTTGCAGTACCTAAATATATTTTATGAAAATAAAGTATTCGTTCAATCAATTATAAAATATATGATCAAGTTTGTAATTTCAAGCAACTACAAACTTACATCCAATTATAAAAGATAACTTTGCTTGATCGTTTTTTTTTAAAAAAAAAAAAAAAAAAAATTCCCCAAAAAATGAGTTTAAAAGTAAACAATAGAAAAGAACTTACGTCGAGTCTTCAATTGGTTACGGTGTGTTGGATTCTGAGGTGGTAAATCAAGTAAATTAAGGAACCATGGTTTACTTTCTTGTAATTGGTAATTTAATTCTTTTAAACTCTGCTCTGACGCGGAGTATGAGATATTTTCAATTTTTTCAAGTAATATTTTAAACCTATCAGGTTCCCAGTCTGTGAAGTCCATATTTAAAAAATGAAGTAAAATCTACTAAAACAAAAGAATAATTTTTCGTTGAATTTTTTTGCAAAACAATAAAAACAAAGTGAAATTTATAACATTATTTACGCTTTGCCACTACATATACGTCATTCGTATCATTGCAATATTGTTGATCAAAATAAAATTATATTTTTATTATATCTTTTATTATTTTTATTTTATTATATTGAGAAGGTAGCGCGTACAACTTGTGTATTCTTGTGTATTCTTGTGTATTTCTTGGGATTATCACATTAAGAATCCCATTTGAAAGTAGAGGCATGTGAATTATATATTATACACGAAGAATCATATTCAACAATCTTTGGAACATTATTATAAAAATTTTTTATAATATAATATTTTTTATAATATTTTTTATACAATATTTTTTATAATATTTAATAATTTATTTCTTCAATTTATCTGTCAACTCGGGAACAGCCTTAAACAGATCTGCGACAAGTCCATAGTCTGCAATCTACAAAAATTATTCAATTTATATTCAGTTTGTTAACAAAAATATTTAATTAAAAAAAAAAAAATAAAATAAAATAAAATAAAACCTGAAAGATTGGTGCATCCGGGTCATTATTAATTGCTGCTATTACTTTACTATCTTTCATTCCGGCAATATGTTGTATGGCTCCACTAATACCAACTGCTAAATATAATTCTAAAATATTAAATACATTTAGAAAATCAGTCAAGTATTAAATATATTATATTATGATTCGAAGAAAAAAAAAAAAAATTTCGTACCTGGAGCAACGACTTTTCCTGTTTGCCCCACCTATAAAACAAAGAATAAAATTACTTAATTAGTTATCAAAAAAAAATGATATGTTAAATAAGAAATTATGTTATAATCACCTGTAAATAATTATCACAATAACCTGAATCAACGGCAGCTCTTGAAGCACCAACTAAGAAATATTTGAAATATATGAAATATATGTATTATCATTCATGAAAATTTGAAAATTTGAAAATTTGAAAATTTGAAAAAAATTTATATGTTATTTTTATAAATATACCGGCAGCACCAAGAGCATCGGCGAGACTGTAAACCAATTTAAAATTTTCTTTACTTTTTAATGCTCTACCTCCAGATACAACCTTTGTTGCTGTTTCGAGTTCAGGACGATCACTTTTTGAAAGTTCTTCGTTAACCCACTCGGAAAGTGGTATCTTATCAGAATCAGGTGCCGATTCGGTGATAGCTTTATTTTCATTAACCTCAGCAGGAGGAAATGAAGTCCCTCGAATAGTAATAACTTTTATAGGATCTTTTGATTTTACCTTAGCAATGGCATTACCTATTTTTATTGATAAAAATAATTATAAATAAATAAAAAAAGAATTCGATAAAAATTAAACTTTTATTTATATACCGGCATAAATGGGTCTAATGAATATCTCCGGAGATTCTATATCAATAACATCGGATATTTGAGCAACATCTAAAAGTGCAGCAACACGAGGCATAATGTTTTTTCCAAATGCTGAATGAGAAGCCACAAAATGAGTAAAATTAAGTTTTTTCTGGGCATTCACCAAAAGTGGAGCATAAACTTCTGCAAGTCCGTGTTCATAAAGTTTATCTTTTGCAAGTAACACCTTGGATATTCCTCTATATTTCGAAATTTTTTCTGCTACAGGATCAGGGTTTTCACCCGAGACAAGAGCAGTTATATTTCCACCAAGTTTATTTGCTGCAGTTAGAGCATTTAAGGTGGAGGAAGCAATTTCATTATCTCTATGCTCTACCAAAAGAAGGGTAGATATATCTTGACCAGTTGCATATCTACGGAAGAGAAAAGTGGGACGAAGCTATTTTACAAGTTATATAAGTTAGAATATAACCTTACGAAATATAATTGTATTAAAATTAAAGTACCGTAGAAATTACGCTTTTTCGAACGATCTTGACAAACATTTTTTATAATATCAACATATCGCTGATCTCGACCTAACAGTAAGTTAGCACGTGCGTAACCAGTCGAATCATATCTTCCGCCATTGTTATCATTGTTATCTTGTTGTTGTTGTAGATGTTAAGACAGTTTTTACAGTTTTTACCAAAATGATTAAATCTGTTCTCATTTTTAATAACCATGGAAAACCTAGACTTACGAAATTTTATCAACAGATAGTAAGTTTTTTAAATAAAAGTACCCTATTTTAGAGTAATATATTTATTGAATTCTTCAATTTTTATTTGTGTACTTGGTTAGGATATCGGTATACAGCAAGCTTTAGTTCAAGAAATATATTCTCTAGTTTCAAAACGTCCAGATACAGTATGTAACTTTCTCGAAGGAAGTCAAATGCTTGGTGGAAAAGATACACGAGTAATTTACCGACATTATGCAACATTATATTTTGTATTTGTCGTCGATGAATGTGAAAGTGAATTAGGAATTCTGGACTTAATTCAGGTTTTAAGAGCTATTATAGTCATGTGCCACATAATATATAAATAACTATGGAGAATTTATTTATTCTTCTTAATTGTTTCATTGAAGGTTTTTGTGGAAAGCTTGGATAGATGTTTTGAAAATGTGTGTGAACTTGATTTGGTAAGATATATTATAATTTTTATATTCGAAAAAAAAAAAAAGAACGGAATTATTAAACTAATTTTATAATATATTTGTTATTAGATTTTTCATTTCGAAGAGGTAAAGATATCTTTGTTGAGGGTTAAATAGCTCTATTTAAACCGAAAATAATTTATGAACGACCAATTATAGGTTCATCATATTCTATCCGAAGTAGTTATGGGAGGGATGGTTGGTTTGATATTTTCTTTAAATTAATATACAATTAATATACAATTATATATATACAATTATATATACAACTAATATGCAATTAATATACAATTTCATGCTCTAATATTTGACAGGTCTTGGAAACAAATATATCAGAAATAGTTTCAGCATTTAATGAAGGAAATAAACAAAAGAAACGTGGTAGTGCAATGTCCACAATTTCAGGAAGTGGAGCTGGTGCTGTTGCTAGAGATCTAGGAGCTAACCTAGCAAACACAGTTACAAATACCTTACAAAACACAGTCAGTGCAACATTCCCTACATTTAGGAGAAATTCAGGATTTAACTCTTGATAACTCTTGATAATTCCTTGATGAGGATAGAATTTTTTGGTTAAAATTCTCAATTTTTATGAATTGGTTTGGAGGCACAACACATACACATATATAATTTACAAAATTGGGTAGATGTAAAAGAAGTTGGTTAGTAATAAAATTAATTATTTGAATTAATTAATTATTTGAATTAATTAATTAATTAATTATATTTAAAAATAATATTTAAATCATTGTCAAAAATCATTTTCATTAAAGAAAATACGCAGTATTTTGAAAACTTTAATTATTTTTTACATTATTACATTATTACATTATTACAAAAATTCTCATTATCATACACTAAAGAAAAGTTCCAAATCAAAAATATAAATTAAAATTGATCATATTAATTAAATTATTATTATCATAAATAAATAATTCAAAAGATTAAATATTAGAGTTTTGTAAATAATTGGTGATGCTATTAACATAATAATCTGCATCATCGACTTCATCAACTTCTTCTGTGTGGTTGAATGAATCTCCAAAATTTGACATTTCGCATTCTTGATTATTAACTTGTTTGCTATTCATTGTTTGATATTCTTGTGAATCTTCTTCAACAACTTCATTTGTGTCTTCATATGTTTCTTCATCCGTTTCTTCATTTGTTTCCTCATTTGTTTCCTCACCTTCTTCCTGCAGGCGAAATTCTTCCAACATTTGTTTAAAATCACTCATTGGTGATACATTTTTTAAGAACGGATGCTATTTATTAAAAATTTTATAATATTTATTTATTAATATTTGTAGTCTTATTCATGAAACAAAGTTTTATATAAATTACCTCAAACATTTCCGCTGCCGATTTTCGTTTCTTGGAGTCCATTTCTGTACAAAGTGAAAGAAAATCTTTAAATGTATCCGACCAACATTCGGGATTCTTTAAACCAGGTACACCACTTTGAGCAATCAAAGTAATTGCCTTAAATTTTTTATAAGTAAAAGAAGTAAGTACATGAAGATTTAAAAAAAAAATTAATGAAAATAAAATGAACTTTATAAACCTTCAAAGGAGGATGTTCATCCATATAAGGTGGATTGCCTTCCGCCATTTCCATCAATAACACACCAAGACTCCAAACATCCACCTATAATATTCATTATTATTCATCACATTAATAAATAAGTTGGTTATTAAGAAAAGGGAATTATAAAATTTAAAATCATAACCTTATCATCATATGGTAAGCTTTTTATGACTTCTGGTGCCATCCAATAAGGTGTACCAATTACCGAGTTTCGACGAGGTTCTTTTTCAGTCAATTGTACAGAATGACCAAAATCGGCTACCAATATTTAAGAATGAATATTTATAGTTAAAATTTTATAATTAAATTTTACAATTAAAATTTTTAAGTTAAATTTTATATAATCAAATTTTATAATCAAATACGCATAAAATAATATTAGGAATATTAATTAAACTGTAAATATACCAATTTTAATATCACCCCAAGCGTTTAATAAAATATTATCGCTACGAACGTCTCTATGTATTCTTTGAAGACTACTGAGATATATAAGAGCTTTTAAAGTTTCTCGAGCAACCAGTGCGATTTGTAATTCGTTTATTTGTAATTCATCTTCATACATTGCTATAAGATCTGCAAGTGATACTTCCATATACTCCATAACAACCTATAACAAATATTAATTAAAAAAAAAAAAGAAAGATTAAATAAACGTATACATAAAAATTGAACAAATTCAAAATATAATGTAAACTTTACCCATATAGAATCTGAAGTATGATAACACCCTATATATTTCACTATATTAGGGTGTTGACTCATTTTCATCAAATTCAATTCATTTCTTATAATTTTCAATTTTTCACTTGTAAAAGGAATTATCTTTATAGCGACCTATTAAACAGATTATTAAACGTTATATTGAAAATATATATATATATATATGTATACTTATAAGAAACATCAATTAAATCTAATACTGTAATTTATTTAATTTACCATTTCTTGAGAATTATTTTGATTTGCAGAATACATGTTACCGGACTCTCCTTCAGCTATTTGAATTAAATTATTATATATCTGAGTGGGATCGCGTGTATCCAAAAAATCGACTAATTATATACAAAAAAAAAAAAAATAGAAAATTATAATATTATCAATCAATAAAATAGATATAAATAAAAACAATTCTTTACGAACCTAAATGACGAATTTCTTGTGGTAACGAATCGGGATCTACAGAAGTATTTACAACGTCCGATTGTTCAATCTGTTTAGATGATTCATGTATATTTGATTCATGTAAATCTGATTCTTGTATATTAGATTCTTGTATATTAGATTCTTGTATATTAGATTCTTGTATATTTAATATTGAACAAAAAACTTGTGACGCTTCCGAAAATCGTGATATTTTTGCTTCTGATGTTGTAGATAAATTGTTCTTTATTGAATGAAGACTAGCAGGCAAAGAATTGTGTTGATCATTTATACTTTTTTTGAGTCTATTGCTGAAACCATTAACAGAATGTCTTTGATTATCTTTTACTGAAGTTAACTCGCCGTGAAATATTTGTTTATTAGGAAAAGAATTTGTGGATTCAATTGAAACATCGACTTTTGTACCAGAATTAGAATTAGGAAAAATATGATTTCCATTAGCGGAAATAGAAGGATGAAAATTGTCTTGGTATTGATATATTTCATTATTATCAGGTTTATTATAATTTTCTCCAGTTATGTGAGATATATTATTAATTTGATTTAAGGAAATTGTTTGTGAACTTTCCTTTTGATTTGTTGGACTTATTGGCATTTCACTGATACTGGAAGCTCTGTTACGTACACCATTAAAATTTTCTTTGGGTAATAAAAGTGCTGTATCCGAATTTTTTCTGTTTGAATTAGATATGTTTTGACAATTATTTCTAAATTCTAATGAATTATTATCTGTGTTTTTGAAATAAGATTCTAATCTTTGATTATTAATATTGACTTTACTAGACTGAGATGATACTTGAGTTGGAGAAGTAGATCCCACAGGCCCCCTGGAATGATCTCTTGATGGTGGTATTGGTGACGTGGATCGCTCTCTAGGGATATTTTTAATTTGACCGTACGAATCCCTTGAATGTGGTTGTGAAGATTGTGAAGTGAAACGATCACCAGTTGATTTGAGAGAATGATGTTCACGTGTTATTGAATTTGTTGAATCTCGGGGTGTAGGCGAAGTAGTTTTTTCGTATGAAGGTGGAGATGATGAAATTATAGATATAGGTGACATGTGTCGTTCCTTCGGAAATGAATTTATTGATTCCCTGAGCGGTATTGGAGGTATTATTGCTTTTATCCCTTTTCTTAGTTGACTGGATGCTAAAGAATATTTTATTTATTTTATTTATTTATTTTTAGAAGAAAATATATGATAGATGCGATTAGATATTTTGAAGATAATTCACTTTTAATATAAATTTTGTTTGAGGACGACGTACCACTATCTCTATTTGAAAAAGATGGTATCTCAGAATTTCCTAATGAAGATGAAGAATCAAAGTTATCTTTATGATGTTTGATATTTATGTTTTGAGATGAAGAATTATTTGACTTTTTGTCAGATTTATGTGGAACTATGTATGAAGATTTGGGTAAAGTAGAAATGTCAACTGAATCCGAAAATTGTTCATTTATAGAAGAAGGACTCGATATTTTTTTGTTTTTTGTAACAATAGATGATGAATTCCGTACAGGAAAAATATTTGGCATTAACCCTACACGAGTGACATCTTCATTCGAAGCGTAAGATCCTAATGATGCAGATCGATTATGATTCGACATACAGGATTGAATTTGTATCGATTTACGACGTTGATGCCCATCTGAGTGTAATTGCATAAGTTTATAGATGGCTTCAGGGTTTTTTTGCACATCATCTTCAGTTATACCATTGGATTCTAAAATCTCTTTCCAGCCGGAAGGAAGACCCTAAATTTTAAATATTTTTAAGTATTTTTTTTAAGTATTTTTTTTTTAAGTATTTTTAAGTATTTTTAAGTATTTTTGAGTATTTTTAAGCAAAAAAAATATATATATATTAATTTAAGTAAAAATTCATCACACTAATTTAGTTACCTCTAAACCATTATCATTTACAACAACATGAATTTCATGTTTAAAATTATATGGTTGACCAATGCAATCACCTGCTAATTTTGTAGTATCTGGATCTGATTAAATTATTAAAAAAATATTTTATTAAAATATTTTACTAAATAAAAACTTTAAAAAATTTAAATTTAAAATATTCTACCAAATAAAAATTTTTTGAAAAATTTAAACCAACAAACAAACAAACGTACCAGAATAACCAGGACTAGGAACAAGATTAGGATTTAAATATTTTGTATTTACTACACCATCGCTTGGAACGGTATTTACCCAAACATCTGGTAAACCCTAATAAATTTTTAAATATAAATAATTAATTATAATTTATTTTATTGACGCGAAATTAAATACAAAAGAAAATTTGGAAATTAATTTGGAAATAGATATTAACATTGATATATATTAATAGACAACAGAAACTATTTTATTAAAATTAATAGTTTACATTATTATATGCATCAAATGATAAAGTAAAGACAGAAAAGAATTATACGATTTTCAAAATATATTTATATTATTATATATTTATATATATACACCTACCAAAAATTTGCCACTTTCGTTATTAAATTCTACATGAATCCCATGTTCAAATTCAGTTGGTTTTCCGATTTCAATAATTTTTTCACCAAATATTTTTTTCTTTTTGGTAAAACTTGAAGTTGAGTTATTATTCAAGTTATAATAACTTGAGTAAGAAAGTGCATCTGCTCTCTTCCCACCAGACCTTGAACCAGATCGTTCATACCCAGACGGAGGTTTGTATGCTTGACTGTCACTAGCCCTCCTTTCTGTGGACTGAAACGCACCTCCGTTTGTCGACACTTGGGAACCCAGCTTAAATTTTCCTTTAAAATAATCCAATATGGTACAACTGTTTATAAAACTACCTAAAAATGAATTTCAAACCAAATGATTGTTATATACTCTCAGAAAAGTAACTAAAAAAAATTTATTAGTCTAAATGTTTATCACAATTAATTTAATACATAACATACATATATACATATATATATATATATATATAATTATTATGTATAAAATAGTTTTACCCCATAATTTCCGAAGTCGTACTAAAACTATTCTAATATTTACTGTAACGATACGATAAAATAAATTTATCATATTTTAAAAAGTATTACATGCTTTCTTGCGTAATACCTAAATATCCGATTAATATAATTAATATAATTAATATAATTAATATAATTAATATAATTAATATAAATAATCGGTTATAAAAATTAATGCATAACAATATATTCTTTTACACATATGATTCAATAGCACTCTCGCAAAAGATATTTGCTATATTGACTCTCTCAAATTACAAAAGAAATAAATTGACAGTATATACAAAATCAAGAAAAAATAATAGTAAAAAATATAATGTAGAAAAATACTAGAAAGCGAACATAAAAAAAAAAGTTGAAGCGTAGCACTAATAAAATTTTTATGATTTGATAATCAATTATAAAGATAAAAAATATTAAAATATAATTCAAGTTTGAATTCTAAATATAATGCCATTATCCCTTAAAAGACATTAACGTTTCCACGAACGTTCACGTTCATCATCTTCATCATCCGATTTGAAATTAGTAGTGGCATTCACATGTGAATCAGTAGTTACAGCAGGTCGAGATTCAGAAGTTACAGAAACTGTATCATCCGAGGGATTTGTGGGATTTGTGGGATCTGTGGGATTTGTGAAATTAGTGGGATTCGTAGGATTTGTGGGATCTGTGACTGGGTTAAGAGTGTCTTCTGAAGGAAGAGCTGAATTTGCTGAATTTGTTTCGGTGTGCCATGTCATTTGTACTGCTCCAATATCTGGAATATTAGAACCTTTCCCAAGAGCCTATAAAACATTGAATTAAGTTTTTTTTTTTTTTGATTATCATTTTGTTTTTTGTTTTTTTGTGATTAATTTTTTAAAAAAAAATGCATTACCTGCTCGGCTTCATATCTAGTTTTAAATTGAACAATTGCTGACTTCGTTTCATCAGCAACCGTGAGGGATTCCACTTCGCCAAATTGCTGATTAATAAAATATATTCGTCAATTATAATTCATTATTAAAATAAATAATATCAAATTTTATGAAATCTTATGTGACTACCTGAAAATATGACTGAAGAGTATCACTAGAATCGACTGGAATATTTTTCAAATGTAATTTGGTAGAACGATTGTCCAATTTGAAAGAACGCATAACTCCCCCTCCGCGAGCTCTAGGCCAAACAGCGCGAGCTCTACCGCGATAATATATAGCACGCCCTCGACCACGAAACAAAGAAGTTTCACCAGTAGTATTTAGACCAGTAATCGAGGTGTTTGACTACGATTATTTAATACAAAAATTAATTTTATATATTTTAAATTCAAAAAAAAAAAAATTTATAAAAAAAAAAAAAATAATACCTCAGAATTTCCCGATTCTGCACTAACATTTTGCTGTGTCAAATTTGGTGGTGTTGTTGTTGTTGATGTCGTCGTCTGAGTTGAATCATTTGCGACACTTGTCTCATTAATTTTGCTCAATATGTCAAGCTCCCTGTCCAACTGTTCTCGTTCTTTTTCTTCCAATAAATTTTTGGAATGAATCCCTCCAGTCAAAATAGGTTTACGAGCAACTACGTTTGTGTCATTTTTAATTTCTTCACTAACTTTGCTAAGGACTTTAAGAACTTCTTCGCGATTCTTAGATTTCTTAGCAAGTTCCATCAATTTCTTCTGCTCTTCAATTTGTCGGTTAATCAATTGCTCTCTTTGTTTTTGAATTTCGAGTAATGCCGTCAGACTTTCTTTCTGTTTTTTAGCTTTTTCTTCCGCTTCTTTAATCTTTTCTGGCGAGGGTTGTGTAAGAATTTCTGGAGGTGCACTTACAGGATTTTCAGGTTTCAGGAGAGTGACTGTCGGTTTAATTGCTGAAGAATTAGAACTTTGTGGCTCTTCTTTCTCTTTATACCAATAAACTTTGACAAACCGATTATCAAAAATTGGTTCAGGTGAATTATAAGCTTTATATGCATCTGATTGACTATGGAACTGGATAATAGCTTTATGATGGGTAATATCGACATTAATATTGACGATGGTACCAAATTTTTTAAAAAATTCGTTTACTTTGTCCAAATTACAAACTTCGATAGGTATATTCTCAACGACTAAAGTTGCATTTTTATTCGTATTAGCGCTAAATCTATTATTAGAATTAAATCCCGCTCGAGCACCGCGAGCACGACCACGCCCCCTAAATGATGCTCCGCGTGTAGGTTGAGAAACGCTTGAATCAAGAAAATGGGGGATGGTTGGCGAAGTTGTTAAGGAAGAAGCAGCTATCTCCGCTGTATTGGTTTCAGATGTTCCTTGAATTTCTCCTTCTTTTTGTTCTATCAGAGTTGGTGAGACTAATTCTTCAGGTCTGGATAATGTTGCCCTCTCTGGATCATAAGCATCTGTTGTGGGTGTCATTGCTCTAGGTGGTTGGGCTTTAGAAGATAAATTTGATTTTATCAATATCCAAAATATAAATATTTTAAACACTATAAACAGAAATGAATAATGACTTACAAAAACCTGGATCCATTTCATATTGATTGCGTACCCCGGTATTACCCATAAAAAAAGGTGGTCTAGCGGTAACTCCTCCGCCCATCATTCCCACTGGCCCAGCTAAAGGTGTAGCAGCCATGGGAATTATAGATTCAAATGGGCGATTCAATGGTACATCATCCACCACAATCCTATCCACGCCGTGATCAAAAGGACAAAGGTCTCCTCGCATACAATATCCTTTTTCTAAAAAATAAATTCGAAATGATTAGTTTTATGTTATTGATAAATATAATGTTAATATGTATTACATGTATTGTTTTACCATCATAATCACGACATCGCTGACGCCTTCCAGGCCTAGATTCTGAAAAACCTCCAATCATGGATCCTCGTCCGCTACCACGTTCATTCATTCTCCCACCTCGCATTCTCCGATCATCAAACCGATCATTGGACGGTGCATTCATTCCGTTAGAAACCCATTCATTTCCCCAACGATTCGGACCTATATTGAATACCGAGGAATTCAAAAAAATTTTACTATTTAGAAAATTGTCTCAAACTAATTCTGAACGTTAAACACTTCCACGTCCGTACCATTTCCGGGAATGTAACCATTGCCTGTTGAAGACAAATTTTGTCCAGATCCTAATATGTTGTTGCGAGCCATTTTATTGGAACGAAAATCATCGTCATTTTCATCACGACGTCTTTTAAAAGTCCGATCATCCTGATAATTGTTATTGTATTGAGCTGCCCCCGCAGCAGGTCCGGTGGGAATACCCTCACTGCGAAATCGTTTATTTTTCGAATCCCTCTCATCTTCCCGATTCGATAAAGTGGGGCGATCGTTATAACGTCGGTATTCTTCTCGATTATTATCGCTACTTCTTTCACGATGCTTATAATTACGATCTTCATCATCGTCAGATCCTTCACTCTCATCTCGTTTTCGAACCCCTATCTTAGAGATCGCATTTTCGTTTTTTTCGTTAGGGTGATCTTTGGGTACAATTGATTTATTTTCTATAGGTGAACTAGGAGCTGAAAGTGAATTTATATTCGTAGATGGTTCCTGCTTAGTTTGAATTTCTGATGCTGTGCCTGTTTCACTTAAATATTCTTTTGTAATCAAGTACTCAAACAATTTCTCAACGAAAGGTTCGGTTTCTAATTAATAAATTGCGTTTCGGTCAAATAAATTTTTGGTTATCGATTGGATTTATATTTAGAAAAAGGGTTTGAAATGTAAAGTCTGCACGCATCCGCAGCAAAATTGATAAGATTTCTAAGGATTTTATACCTTCTTTAAGAAAATCGTCGAGTTGATCTATACAACATTGCCTTAAATCTTGGTTTGATTTGTCGTGCTGTAAAAGTGCAATAACATAATCAGCTAAGACGGAAGGATCTGCATCGCATCTATTGCAAGTAAAATTACCAATTCGAAACTAAGTTAGTAACCTAAAAATAATGTAAATACGCAACGGGTAAACACTAAAGTAAGGAAAGTATGGTTAAGATATTATGCATACATTGGCTCCAAGATACTACTAAGATATTTCTTTAAAGCCTTCGAAGATGAATCGCCAATAATCATTCTTGTAAATGGACTGTTATTCTCAAGTTTACAATAAATGCTTGAGATCAGGCGCTAAGAGACCGTAAAAGTTTGCGACCTGAAAGTTGCAATTAGGATGTCAAAGAGCCAGTAAAAGCAACTTTTATCCAAAAGAATATGGATGGATGGATATATATAGATAGATATGGTTGTGTAATGATAATAATTATTTGTTCAAAGAAATTTTTCTTCCTTTCTGCGGCCAATCTGCGGTTTTCGTGTGATGAGAGGTGATCAGCCAACTAAAAAAGTACTAGTTTTCATTATTCGAAAATCATGTTTAATCACGTGATAAATAGTTATCTGCTGAGATCTTATTAATAAAAACAACTTATTTATTATATCTTTTGATCTAATAAACAGAATTTTATAAAAAACAATACTATTGAAAAGATAAAACAAGAAATCTTATTTATATAATATAAGAAAAACATAATTTAAAATAATTAGATCAGCTAATATAATTTATATAAATATTTATTACTAATAAAAAAATATAAATATATATTATTCTATAGGATAATTATAGGCATCTCTGGTCAGATATATATTTTTTATATATTTCTGATATTTTAGCCAATAAAAATGTATTTTTATCATGTTGTTATATGCATGACCAGTTTCAGTCGTTCCTAACTTTACACATGATTATATGATTTTAGTTGAACTCAATTGTGATAATATATAAACAAAATCTTTCCATAAATAGTACAAAACAAAAAAAAATTCTCACGGGTGTTTGTTTCTTTTTAAAAGTTTCAAGTTTATTTTTTTTTATTCAAATTGTATTCTGTTTGGTTCTTGATAAGCCAGTCTCTCACAAAATACCTTCTAGTCAATAAATTTAATATTTTTAAAGAGTGACATCCCATTAGAATTCATTTGACAAAAGAAATTAAAGAACCATAATACCTTTTGTTACCTTTCATTGATAATTAAAATGTTAATTTAATAATAACTAATATTACGCTGTTACTAGTTGACCTTTTGAACTAATTCTGTTTTCCAAAAGATAATTTACAATTAGTAACTTATAAATAGTTACTTTAGTTTACGAATTGAAGAAGATAATAAAAGAAGAATAAAAGAAATATTAAGTTAAATACTAAAAACTAATTAAAAGACTTAAGAATTTAGGATCATAGGATTTAAATATTAATTAATGATTAAATTTTAAAGGTCAATTTAAAAAATTAAAATAAAAAGTTAAAGATGTTTGTTAATGGTTTATAAAATAAAAACAAAAATTTAAGGGTCAGAATTTATATTCAAAAAATATAAATTAATAGAAAAGTAACAAAGTTTTTATATAGAAAATATAAGTTTATTATAAAGAAAATCAATAATCCAGTTACTTTAAGATTATAAAAATATTAATTCAATTTCAAAATTAATTACAGTTGAGATTACTTTCTAAATTTTACTATTTAAAACTATTTGAATCTTATTTGAAACTATTTGAATCTGTCTTAAGGTGGAAAAAAAACTTACCCTTTTTATGATATTTGATTTGGTCAATAAGTTGATCAGTGAGTTAATCAAAATCTTGACCAGACCAATAATTGTGTTAATCAGTTGATCACTAAATTGATTAATCAGTTGGTCACTAAATTAGTCAATAAATTGACCAGTAACTAGATCACTATGATCTACATTATTGATTTACATATTTCATATTACATTTCTAAATAAATAAATTCTAATTATAGCTAATAATTAAAATATACTAAAATATATTAAATATGTTAAATATACTAGATAATTATACTAATAAAATAATACAAATAAGAAATAAAATAAAATATTAAGAAAATTATTAAAATAAAAGAAACTCATAATAACAATATCACGAAAAACAATAATGATCAATGATAAGTTTAATATAATTGATGATTTATATATAATTCTCTAATAAATATATAGGTTAAATTATACGTGTTACTCAAATTCCAAATCATTTGAGATTTGGTATGTCAAAATCCCAAATTACTAGTATTTGGGATTTGGGATTTGAAATTTTGGCATTTGGGATTTCGGCATTTGGATTTTGAATTTGGGTGGCAGGTATAAGTTAAATATTTTTTAATATTTTAAAGTTTCTTCAAGTCAAAACATCACCTACAATAAAGACTGTCAATATAATAAAAAACCTGAAGACTCTTTGAAACCTAAAGACCAATTGAAATTCAAAAATTTTGAAACTTGTTGAAACCTGAAAAACCTGAAGACTTGTTAGAACTTGATAATTTATTAGAACCTAAAAACCCATTGGAACCTGAAAATTTATTAAAACTTGAAAATTTCATAAAACCTAAAGACCCGCTTTTTTAGCCTGGTCATGCTTGCTCTTCTCTTGAAGTCTTCAAATATATTACTGATCAATATACTATAATAAATAAGTTAAGGTAATTTTTTATAAAAATAATAATCATAGTGATGGTATTTATTACACTCAAGTTTTTGCATATGATCAATATGGTAAATTTAAATCTAAACTTAAGGATCCCAATAAAAAGAAGCGAAACGCAGAATTGAAAAAATACAATTGTCTGTGATTTATTTGTCTTAATCTTAACCAAAATGATGACAAATATTATATTTTACAACTGTTTTTAACTATAATTATCCACTAATTCCAGTTTAACTTATACACGTTTTGAACCATGAAATACTAGTAAATATTAAAAAAGAATCCTTCTTGCAGAAAAGTAGACATTTCAATATTACAGATCCAGTTGTTACTTATAGTGAAGTACAGATTAGCTGTGAAGAAGTTGATGATATGAGATGTATATAACTTTATTAGTAATGACCGTATTTTACGTATTGAATTCCAGACACATAATTTCTTTTTTCTTTTTCAGCAAAGGCATAGTAATGATCTTGAATTTTCTTTTGAATTCAAGTTGAATTATGATAATCACTTAAAATATGTCATTTGAATGTATATATCACAGAAACAACAATATATGCATTATCATAATATGATTGTGTATAACAATACATACAAGCGTAATTATTTTTTGATACCTTTTGGAGTGTTCACAGGTGTCACTAATAACGACCATTCTTATTATGTTGCTGGTGCATTACTTTGGGATGAAACTTATTTTAGTTTTGAGTAACTTTTTGAATCTTTCATTCGTATTTTTGTTATTACACCACAAACCATTTTCACAAACAATGACCTTCCAATTGCTGACGTCATCTACTCTATTCTGACTAATAAGCATGATACCAAGTACAGCCTTTGTATATGACATATGCTTAAAAATATCAAGTCCAATATGACCTCTAAGCTTGGATCAAAATATTTAGAGTTTTATATGAATCTTATTAAGTGCCTTAATCATTGTATTAATAAATATAAGTTTGAAGAGTAATGGAATAGTATAATGATAAATGACAAATATGCTTAAGCAAGATCATACTTGAATATTCTTAACAAGTGACATGAATGGTGGGCCTCAGCATATCTCAAAAACTATTTCTTTATTAATATATCATCAATACAAAGGAAAAAATCATGAACAAATTATTAAAAAATTTCTTTGATAATGAATCTATACTTATAGAATTTTTAATAGCATTTGAACAGACATTTGATGCTCATGAGGAGGCCAAGCATTTTTCAACATATAAAGAACTTGTTTACTCCACCTGTTTGACTTCACAAAATCCTATCAAAAATCAAGTCACTAATTGTCTAACACAGTATGCATGGAAGAAATTTGTAACTGAATGAATTGCTAAAAAAGCATATACATGTAAGAAAACAACAAACAACAATAAAGTACATCATTTTGAATTGTCACATTATGAGAGACCTGACGTTATACGTTGGGTGTGCTATGATGGCCATATATTTACTTGCTGCTGTCGTAACCTTAAGTTTGCTAAAATAATTTGTCACCATTTCCTTGCAGTCACAGTTTATCTTTCACTTCTTCAACTCGATCACATTCACTTTTCAAAACATTAGCAAAAAGATCCACCTGAATTGAAACCTATAAAAAGTTATATTAACTTTTACAACAGCTCACAAGCTTCAGGAACTCTATTGTCGCAAGAATTCTCTAGTGGAAATAACTCTCAATTCTGATATATGCATATCTATTGACTATCAAGAAAAATTGTAAACAAGATTTCAACGGACTCCAATAAATATGCAAATTTTATGGTATACCTTGAGACATATTTGGAGTTTCTATATATTATTGCTGATGACATTCCTGTTTTAATCAGCATATCACAACTTTCCTTTGAAACATTCAATAATCAATAACCTTATCAAGAGCAAAGCAGTTTGATGATCAAAGAAAGGAAGAATTAGAAGTGAAAAAGAAAATATGTCACTTGTAACTGTTGTAAAAAGAAAGTAAGGTCAATCAAAGAAAAATTCTAAAAGAAATCCAATTCAAAATCAAAATGAGAATATTAATTCACGAAAATATATTCGTATTAGTAATATAGAGATAAATTTTATAAAATATTTATGTTGGTGTTAGGGTTGCATGTTTTACTAATTTCGTTTTTGCTTATAATATACGAACTTACAGATTATCATAGACAATACACGTTATTATATATAAATAAAAACATTATTAGCACTTATGATTCTCTTTATGATTTATTCATGTCTTTGGTCATACAAGTTAAGACAGATATTACAAATAAATTACCTTTTGGCATCTTTTATTTCTGTATTTCATATCTTGTATTTTTTTCTTTAATCAACTCAAGTCTTTGTTAGGATAATGTAATTAAATAAATGTTTTAAACTCGAAAATTATGATATCGTGATCATTATCATTATCATGACCATCATGATCATCATATTCTTTATGATATCATGATAATTATGATAATCAAAGTATCAAATTTTAATTGATTCAAAATATTCAAAAAATTTTAATTATTATTGTTCAATATTGTTACGTGATGATACCAATTAATGAATCAAGTTGATTTACTAACTTTTTACTAATGGGATCATGTATATAACAACATGATAAAAATATATTTTTATTAATTAAAATACCAAAGATATATAAAAAATATATATCTGACTAGAGATGCTTATAATTACCATATATTTTTTTACATATATTTTTTTATATAATAAAAATTTGATGAAATATTGCAAAAAATAACAATTAATTTAATAGTATTTGAAAAAACTAAATACTAATATAATAATTTGTAATTATAAATATTCGAAAAAAAATAAAATTCATAAAAATAATTCAAAAATCTTTGAAAAATTATGAAAATTTGTTGTCATCGAAACTAAAGAAAAATAAAAAAAAAAGAATGTTAGAAACAATATTGAATAAACTGATTTAATCCCTGTCACTATTTTCTAAATAAGCATATTAACATCCAAAAGTATTCAACTTCTAAACAGCAAAGTTATAAACAACCTATTAAACGACTACTCATTACTCTGAAAACTATGGAAAAGACAAAGACATAGTAAAGTTATAAATATAATCTACTAAATGAATACTTGTTACATAGAAATACAGCAGAAAAGGTAAAACATCGTAGTATAAGAATTACCACAGGTCAAAATTCGAATATCGGATATCTATCGGTAGGGTTGTTAATAGAACATAATAGGTTGGGTTGGGTTCATATTATAACGGAGCAATGGTCAACCCAACCCAACCCGGGTTAAATGTATCACTGGTACTCTGCGGGTTGCTCCGGGTTACTCCATGAAGTAATAATTATAATTAGTAAAACTGATCAGAAATAATTATCGATCGTTGC